TACTTACCCTCGAAGCATCCTAGGTGTATATGACTTTCTTCTTTCAGACGAATCCAGTTGCTGATTTATTTTAAAATGTCCTGGCTCTTCCAAGCTTTATTATGGCAGTCAATGGGTGGTCGAGATTTTGAAGCCCAAAAATAGTGCATCCATCCATCATAAAAAGCACTCCACACGGCTCCGGGGGGTTAATAAAGGCCTTCTGAAATGGATCGATGCGTTTGTGTAAGAAAAATATCCAGATTTAAAACTTTATAAACCGTAATCTCTAGCTTCTGCAGGCAGTTGTACATGCGCTCACAAGAGAGTGGCGTTCCAGCGGATGACGTAGGCGTAGTGTAAGCTCCGGTGACAATATGCTAGACTCGCAAGAACAAAGTTTTGTTTATAGCAAAGGAAAACCAGTCTCCTCTTGGCTTATATCGAAATCCTCTGACATTTTTCTTTACAAATCCTCATTTTGTACTTCTAATTCATGACCAGTGTTTTGTTTTGCTCTCTCCTCTGCGCTTCCGCATTCTTCACTTCTCACCGGCGCTTAAGCTACACCTACGTCTTCCGCTGGATGCCACTCTCTCGTGAACACAAGTACGACAGTTAGTGGAAGCTAGAGATTACGGTTTATAAAGTTTTAAATCTGGATATTTTTCTTACAAAAATGCATCGCTTCGCTTCAGAAGGTCTTAATTAACCCCCTGGAGCAGTGTGGAGTACTTTTTTATGATGGATGGATGCACTATTTTTGGGCTTTAAAATCTCGACCACCATTCACTGCCATTATAAAGCTTGGAAGAGCCAGGACCTTTTTTCAACTTCAATTGTATTCATCTGAAAGAAGAAGGAAGGCTTAAGGGTGAATAAATCATGGGGTAATTTTCATTTTTGGGTGAACTATTGAACTATCCCTTTAAGAGGTTAAAGCTTTGACAAGATATTCTGATTTACACATAATAACTGTGACTGATCTAATATGCTAAACAAACTTTTCAGTTTACCTGAATACATAATCAGAAGAGTCAATCTCCTTTCCTAGCCTGGAGCCATTGAGAATGCCACAAGTCGCAACAACAGCACAGCGAATACAGCCATCCTTCGCTCTTGTGGGTACTTGTAGTAACTGGGTAGATGCAAGTTTAGGGATGGTGTCAACAGCTGTTTTTATGGCTATAAAAAGGAGAAAATAGTGCATTATTCTAAAACCATGTCTTAACCTCCTGGGGTCGACAGTTCCGACCGGTGGAACTTTTTGCAGATTTGAATGTTGACAGCGAAAAGAACTAAAATGCTCCTTCATACTTGACCGTACATATAAGAGTAATACAGCATTTAAATCTGTAAAGGGTCTACTTTTATTTGTGTACACTCACAATATCAACAAAACATTGTGCTTTTGCAAAATAAAGAAAATAAACATAAACCATCTACATTATCACATTTATGCTTTCTGATTAAACAAACCTGTGTAATTGAATCCCATATAGCCAAAGGGGTTGTTGAAGTGATAAAGCCGGTTCCACTCACTCATGTTGACATGATCACTTTGTAAAAACAGCTGAATGTTTGGAATAAACTTCTCCTTATACACAGGATTAGAGGAATTTCGCAAGGACACCATGCATTCCTGAAAAACATATTGGAAATGCCTTAAACTCTGTAAACCTGACAAATGAAAAATGGTCTGAAAAGTTTCATATATGTTTTACGCTTTGTATCATATTATAAGGCTTCTATGGCTCATGTAGAATGATATAGCGAGAATATGGAGCTCATGCATGAGGGAAAAACCTCAATTTTATTCAGAGCCCAAACTGAGCAAAAATCTGCTGTTTGGTACAGTTGTTACTTTTTATCAAGATACCCTCACCGATCACCAATTCACCTGCTTATTGAGCAATGTCTAAAAAAAATGTTTAACTTGGATACTCTATAAACTTTTATTTAGCCTCTGTCCCAATTTTTTTTTTGGAGTGTGTTGCAGCCATCAAAATCAACATTTATTTCTATTTACAATTTAACACAATTAAGTTGATCAGTGAAATACTGTAAATCTTTTCTTTGTAGTTTTGTCATTTAAATATGAATGAACAAAAGAGAAAGAATATGAAAGAGAATGAACAAATCAGAGATTCTTGTTTTAATTACAATTTACAAAATGTCCTAACTTTTTTGAAAATGGGGTTGTATCATTTTCTAGGGGGAAAAAAATATGTATGGAGAAATCAAGTAAACCTAAGTTGCCTCAGTCCAGTAAATGTTCATTTTAAGAGATTACTAACAATGGAAAAGTTATTTTTATATTTTCTTTGTAAAAATCATTCAAGATTTGGCAGCAAAAAGACATGTACCACTACCTGAAGATGGACATTTTTATAATTACACTAAAAGGCCTTTTACTTGCAAAAGATATGAACTACCAGTCAGAAGACAGAAGGCACATTGTGTTTTTCAGCAAATTTTTTATCATTTAGAGGCCTTCAAATTTCATGTATCAAACATGATGCAGTAGGCTTTATGTTTATCTAAAAAAGAAGGTGGTCACGTTTGCTTTTATCTATTATTTATTGTATCCATTCTTACAGAACAAAAACAAATTATGTATGTTGTGATTGTCATCCAGTGCTAGTCCAAAATTAATCAATGAAGAAATGACCAAGAGAGAAAAGTGCCAAAAAAAAAAAACTGTAAAACCAGTTAACAGATAGGCTAAGTCTGGAAGACCAGCGAACCATAATTAGTCTGGTTTAAAATGTGTTTCTTTTTCAGCAGGGTTGCATCAGTTTCGTCTGCCACATTAGCAGGATGTTCACAAACTTTTCTCTAGTTGTTGTTATCCACCATACTTACACTCGGTTTAAACTGTGGATCCAACCGATATATATCATCAAATTTCCACTGGGGCAGAGCAGTAAAGTTGTGCTTGTCCATAGGGGCCACAAGTACGGTGGCCGAGAGAGCTCAACGCGCTGCAACTTAAGAAAACACATGCAAATTGAAAAAAAACCAGTTAACAGATAGGCTAAGTCTGGAAGACCAGCGAACCATAATTAGTCTGGTTTAAAATGTGTTTCTTTTTCAGCAGGGTTGCATCAGTTTCGTCTGCCACATTAGCAGGATGTTCACAAACTTTTCTCTAGTTGTTGTTATCCACCATACTTACACTCGGTTTAAACTGTGGATCCAACCGATATATATCATCAAATTTCCACTGGGGCAGAGCAGTAAAGTTGTGCTTGTCCCCAGGGGCCACAAGGGTTAATTGAGTCCCAAGACGGTCAGGGCTCATTGTAGTGTTTGCTGCTCCTGAGTCAGTCACAGCTGAACTGTTGGTTGAGTCAGGCTCCTCAACTCTCTGCAAAGAATATGCGACATTGCCTTCCTCCACACATAAGGAATCATATTGTCTTAGGAGAAGGGCAGCAGAGTTATCAGACTTCTTTCTGTTATTGCTTTACATGACGTAAACATTTTGGTAGAAGAAATTACATTTGAACAAACTAACTGCAATTGCGTAGCTCTCGTTCTAGCCTGTCTATTTTGTAAATGTTTGTTTCTTACCGCGAGAGTGCCTTTATAGTGCAGTTTCCATTGTAAAATGTTACAAAAATAAACAGAAGTAACGTTATAAAGGATATAGCCAAGAATATCCTCAGAAGAATCATCTTCGCATGCGCAACTGAGTTTACAGCTTGATTAGGCCAATTACCGACGACTCAAGTGAGCTGCCTACATATGGACACACACATGCCTTTATTTTTATAAACGTACGTTTGGTATTTACGTTATTTAAGCTGAATGTCATCAAAGTGTAGCGCGCCGTCTGAACACTGCCTATCTCTCACATATCTCGTTTACTTTTGCATATTTAAATAGGCGATTGAGGCGAGAACCAATTAGGTTTGTGCACAATTTCTTCTCCTCCTTCTTTTCCTTATATGGAGCGCTGCGTAAGTAAAAAACACTCGCGTGTGTATTGCTCCAAATTCCCAGTGACGGAGGTGGATATTACATTACTCTCTCTCTGTTGAGGTTTTCTAAGGCCCACGACTTTGCAGAGGACAAGTGGTGTGTGTATATAAGTTAATATATAAGTGATTATGTGTAGATTTTAATCCCTATTCAACCAAATATACCTTTTATACTGAAAATTATTCTGAATTTCAGTTCATTGTTTTAAATTGGACATTTTCTTTGAATTGGAAAGAGAAATTCTTGAAAACACTGACTGTTGACATGGTTGTATAACAGAGCTGGCTGTGGTTTTGATAAACACAATCTGACTAAACTAATAACACACAAATCATTGTATTTTTCACACTTTTATTGAATACATTGAATAATCGTTCACAGTGCAGGCCAGGGTGTAGAAAGTAGGTAAAAATAGTAACTAAGATTCTCCTTTAGCAGCAAATCATGCACCAGATATTTTCTGTAGCTGCATATAAGAATTTTGACCAATTTTGGACCATTGCTCCCCATTAATCTGTTTCAGTTTATCAGTACTGGGTTATCTTGATAGCACAGCCCTCTTGATGAAATGCCACAGTATCTGCCAGGACTCAGTAAATGTGAATTTTCCTCTTTTTCAGCAATTCTATTTTATATACAGTATATATGTATGTATGTGTGTGTGTGAATGCCACAGCAGGACTCAGTAAATGTGAATTTTCCTCTTTTTCAGCAATTCTATTTTATATACAGTATACAGTATAT